TCCAAAAAGAATAATCAATTTTGCCGAATTTATAAATTTTCTTTACAAGCGGTTATGAGTGGAGTTGTGCTCGCAAAGCAGTTTTGGTGTAATATAATATCTTACGGATTCAAATGGGTGGAGGAACAAGCTAAATTTAGGCACTGAAATGCATTAGAATAATTTTGACATTAAGTTAAAAGTGTGGATTGTTCAAAGAAATATATTGGTTATCAGCAAACCGGCCGGGAAAGAAACTAGTTTACAAATTATATATTTGGTGGAATAAACCGGAGTGAAATGTATTCCATTATTTTTTCAATCGTTTGTACCACAAGTAGTGTTACTCTCAAGGAAGATAAAATTGAATATGTCCATTAGCTATAAGAATAAATGTCTATGTAAGACATTAATTAGTTGATATGCTTTTCCTTAATTTGTGCAAAGTGACGCATATGTTCTATGAGTGATAGCTCGAAAAGCACTTTAAACTCTACCAACAAAAGGTTTTCCATTCTAAACCCTTAAATTATGAATGATATATTTCTTTGTGAGAGTTCATATGTTTGATGAATTGAATGTTAAAGAGTTGTCTGATTTAATTTTTAGAATTCTTCTCTCTCATGTGATTTGGAATAGGGTTTGATCATGCGATGGCTGTGGCCGAGTATGATAAATAGAGTTTCTTTGGGTATAACCATTCTTAGTACATTGAACTAACCTGACCAAAAAAAAAAAAAAAAAAAGTACATTGAACTAAATGTTTTGTCTGTTGTGCAAAAGCGAGTTTCTATTGTCAAATCACTTTCATGAGGACTATATAAATATTTTTTTTGTTTTTGTCAGTTTTTTAATATCTTTTTGTTTTATTTTCTCTTTGTTCTCTTTTTCTATCTTTGCATCTAAAAAGATACATAGATGTTTCTAGTTGTATTTGTAGAGGGATTTGTAGTGTTCCGTATCATACTATACTGACTACTGAGTTTGAATCAAGTTTGGACCGTATAACAGACACATGAAACGAAGAAACATTGATGTCTAGATAAGTTAAAAAGCTCAGGAAAAATAATATGATTATGATGTCGCATAAAATATACATATAGTGATAAAAACATCTCACAAAAATATATCTATAATTATAGATAAATGATCGTAAATGGATTTGTGCAACATCCAAACTTTCAAAGAGAGGTTTTTGTTGGGGATTGAGAAGAGAGTTTCGAAGTGGTTGCTTCTCGGAAAGGTACCTAATAATTATTCACCATGTTTTCTCTTTATTTCTTTTTTTTCTCTTTTGGTCTCAAACCTTTTTTAAAAAGACAAAAAAAATCTATATATAATAGCAATCTAATAAATACCATTTACACATCTGAACGGTTGCGTCTTTTTATCGCAACTTTTCGTTAATGTTTTTATTAATTAAAATATATATTTTACGGTTATGTTTTTTTTTTTTTATAAATTGCATTCTGAATGTTTTCTACGGTTGCGTTTTTTATTGTAACTCTTCATAAACTGTTGAAACCGCATATTCGAATCATTGCAATATTTAGTTTATTTTACAAACAATTGCAACCTTTGGTTTATATATTTATTTTATTTCACGAATAATTACAATTTTTGGTTTATTTTATAAATAGCTATAACATTTAATTATCTACCGCCGCGTCTCTCGGTGTAACTTTTCATAAATTATTATTTTAATTCTTAATTTTTAATTACTAAAATGTATTTAAATGAGATTGTAACTATTTAATTGAATTGTTTCAACATTTGGATTATTTGACGAATTATTGCAACTTTTGGTTTTGTGTTACGAACCATTGTTATCTTTAGTATATTTGATGAACTATTGCAACATTTGGTATAATTGACGAACCGTTCCAGTTTTTGGAATATTTGATATCTACGGTTGCGTTTCTCGGATAAGTTCGTCATATTAAAAAGTATTTAAATACTAAAATATATTTAAATGAATTGTTGTTACCGTTTAATTTAACACAATAGCATTTGGTTTATTTGACGTTGAACGTTTTGGCTTATTTATCAAACCATTATAATATTTGGTTTATTAGTTTATGTTTTTTGCACTTGGGAATAGTTTTTTAGTTACAAATTATTGTTTTTCTAATATTAATATACTTAATAAATGCTTGTGAGGGTTTTCTTTATCATAAATTTGTAAAATATATATTGATTTGTTATTAAAAAAATTCAAAATTATTACAATTCATTATGATTTTTTCGTTTGATATTTTTTTAAATGATTTTTGAAATATATTCACTCGCGACATCGCGGGGGTCCTGAGTCCTAGTAATAATAATAAGCAAGGGGAAATTGGCATAATAGTTAATTAGCAGGCCCGGTCTTGTGGCCAAGCAAACGAAGCGGAGGCTTAGGGCCCCGGTTATTTTTCTTTGTTATTAGGGCCCTATTTTCCATGACTCCACAAATTTTAATATACGTGTATTTTTATAGACTTGAAAAATTATCCACATATATATATAAGTTTATAACTATATAAGAACATATTTCCATTTTATTTTTATCATTTAAATTTTTAACATTAGTAGATAAATTTGATATTACCAAATATATATACTATCTAATTTATGTTAAAAATAAAAATCTATCTAAAATAAAATTTTATATGACCTATAGAAATTTTTTGTTGAATAAACAGAATAAAAAATAACAAAATCAAATAAATACACAAAAACTCTCAATAAAATATGAGATTTATCTTTAACAAACAATAAATAATGTGTAAACCTTACTTTTCTTCATGATATATTATTTTCTCTACTATGTTTTAAATATTTTTGTAAAATTTAAAACTATAACATAAAAATATAATCTTATCATAAATATTTGTAAAAAATTATGTTAATAAATGTTGGGATCTTGTTTTTTTATGCTTGGGGCCTCACAAATGTTCGGACCGGCTCTGTTAATTAGTTATATAAAAAAAACAAGGTCAATTTTGTTGACCATGTGAGTATCAATGATCAAACGGGAGACAGCTAAATGTGAGGCAATCACATGAACACAATTGGTACTCTAGTGCTTCATTGCGTTCAATTTTTCATTACGATAATACATCCACAAAATGGTATAGCGAAATATTCATTTAAAATATATTTTTTTCATAATTATTTCAATATCTATGACATTTGTTTAAAAAGACCTTTCTAAACACTACGACATGCAACTACGAAATTTTGCCTTGTCAATGACTCACAAATTCAAAATAAATTACTGTTTATATACTAAAGTACTCGTGTATATATATATATATATCCAATTTTCTGTGGTTAGTGGTGTATTAGAGGATTTCACAAAGGGCGTATGACTCATGATGACATGCTTATAACTAGCTCAGAATCTATTTTTGGTTCCACGATGATTTTGAATCATAAGCATGCTTTTATATATATAACGAGCTCTGAATTTGACTTTTTACCCAGAAAAATTAGAAAACCCAAATTATTTGTCTAAATCCCAGAAAATGTTTATAAAATGCAAAGCACGTTTCTACTTTCCAGTATCGCTTAAACGGCAGATCAAAGAATAATGGCTTCTCTAAACCATAAATACAGGTCAAACACGAAAACGCATATAACGGAGAATATTACAAATTTGTAGCAAGAAATAGATTTAAAAAAAAAAAAAAAAAATCAAGTTTAGATAATGGCTCTCTAAGAGAGCTTTTCAAGCTAGGAAGCGGGATGCGATAGACCATACTAAACTATTCCCTTCCTTTTTTTAATTGGCAACTATTTAGGTTGGTAAGAATAGGGTTCGAATTTTATGCGGTCATGGCGGTTATCTAGGCGTCACATGAGAGCCTAGCGCTTAGTCGGGGCCTAGGCGATCGCCTAGACCGCTTTTTAGAACACTGGATAGACCATACTAAACTATTCCCTTCCTTTTTTTAATTGGCAACTATTTATTTAGGTTGGTAAGAATAGGGTTCGAATTTTGAATTTCAGACAATAAAAAAAGAAGAAAAAAAAAGGCTTAGACTCTGATGTTGTAAATCATGTGGTATACGACAGACACAGACGGATAGGACGAGCAAAGTACCGTGAGAGAAATCCCCTTGATGCCCTCACGCTTTTTATCGACTCAAGCTTTTGTTAGACCGTTCTCTTCATCACTTTGGCTTTATTTAGCCCCCTGGGATTTCGTTTTTTTTTTCGGTTTTTCGGTTTTTTTGAGTTTTGAAAATGTTACCGAAATAACCGAAAACAAATTTCGGTTCGGTTAATTCGGTTTTCGGTTTTTAATTTCAAAAACCGAAATATTATTTTTTTCTAAAAAAAGATATTTTTTCGGTTTTTTCGGTTAATTTTGGATAATTTCGGTTATGAACAAAACTGGTTTATTTTTTTGTAAACCGAAACCGAACCGAAATAACAGAAATTTTTCGGTTAACCGAATTAAATTTAAAATCTTACCGATCGGTTTATGACCTAGAACCGATTCGGTTTTTAATCCCAGGGCTAGCTTTGTTCTTTAACTGATGGTCATGTTTACGATGAAGTGCAAAAACGTATCAATGTATTTTTTCGTTCTCTCATGGTAAATTAAGTTCTTAGATAGAGTTATCATAGTTTAGCACAAAAAAAAAAAAAGATAGAGTTATCATAGTATGTAAATCATTGTATACTTTTAGTAAACTAAAAAAACAACAAATCATTGTATACTTCCACTGTTCCACATAAACAAAATATCGAATGGAGTAGTAATATAATGCAAAAGCGAATAGTCACATGCATTTTCACACAATAACATATTACATATGTCAACATATTTATTATTAACAAAGCCAATAATAATAACATGTTATTATTATTTTCTAAATTTAGAAACTCTTTGACCCACAGAATGGGTCCCACTCTGCTACTAAGGTGGGACCCATTCTGTGGAATAGGTACTTTGGTGTAGAAAGAGTTGAATAGGTACTTTGGTGTAGAAAGAGTTGAATAGGTACCATTCTGTGGAATAGGTACTTTTCTAATAGAAGATGAAATAGGTACTTTGGTGTAGAAAGAGTTGAACCACGGTTCAACTTTGCAACATGTATACAAAGAATAAAAATTAAGACAAACACATGGTTCAAACAAAAAAAACCAAAAAAAACCAATGAGATTTAATTGATTTCTTTATACCTGCTTGATCAAATGTTTAGATATGAAATCAAGCCTCATATTCTTTCTATCAAAATACTGCAAGAGTTCTAAAACGGACTCTTTGCTGTGCCGAAGGTTGATGTAATCCCCAGAAAGTACATGCTTCAATGGATAATGAAGCATGTTAGCTGTATAGGACAAAATTTTATTAGAAATTAAATAAAATTGGTAGTAAAACAAAGAAGTATCAAAAAATACGAGAGCAAAAACCAAACCTGCAATTCTATGAACTAAAGACTCCATGTTTAAACCAAGTTCATCATAATCATCAAATGATTCAAACTGTTTTTTTCTCATCTCAAAATATTCTTGCATGATCCAAGAAGGAGCTTCTTCACGAGTTACGAAACTAAGAAATTTATAGACATAGGTGACGATGTCATATATCTGTAAAAAAAAAAAGGAGGAGGTTCTTCAAGAGTTACAAAACTAGGAAACTTATACACATTGGTGAAATTGAATTGAAAGAGTAAACAATAGAATAGTACCTCAGTGATAATGATGTTGTCTTTCAGATGAAGAGAAAGAGTGAATAATCTCCCTAGCTATTGAAGTGCTATCAATCGATAACTCGGAATCTTCAGAACCATTACAAGCCCCAATGAAAACATCTAGGCTAGTAATCCATCCTTTGTTTTTGAAAAGAGAGTAAAGTGATCCTTGAGATCCTAACAAAATTGGAAAAAAAACAGTTAGAAAGCTGCAAAAAAGTATGAACGAAAATTAAAAAACAAAACAAAAAAATACTTACGATGGCCTAAGACTTTTTCAAGAAAAATTTCTGGCTTGTATAGATGAGAATCTGAATCTGCAGATTTTTTTGAAACTGCATCTCTAGGAATCTGGGGAGGAATTCTCCAAGTAAGACGAAGAATATTGTCGTCCTCAAGAGCTTTCAGCATGTAGAGCTTTTTACGTTTCCAAAAAGGAATGCTTGAATTAAGCCTAAATAATTCAGTTTGTAATCCTTGCTGAATGCGCTTAATACCAGAGAAGTAAGAAGTCACCCATGCTTGAAGTTTATCAACAGGTTCTACAAGCGATTACAATAAGAGACATATCAAATGAATCATTCTTTTGAATTGCATAAAAGAGTAGAAATTGTAATACAAATTATTTTACCTGCCCCATACACCACAAGGTTCATGGCAGCACCCACATAAATTTTTTTGAATAACCCAGTAAGACGATTATGGAAGGATCTTTCCGTGGAAAGAGACTTGTGGTTGCCTATTGGTGCAAAAAGGGGACGAAAATGTTATTTTTTAGATCCTATACCCCATGTAAATCTGTTAAAGGGATGACGTTTTGGAGCTCCATGTGCCATGAGCTGTTCAAGACGTACTAAATCAGTTTGTCTACTTAATTCAAATTCTGAAAAGAAAAGAAAAGAAAACTTGTTAAATATCAGCAATAGTAATAGAATTATATCACTGATCTCAATAGCGATTACAGCAAAAATGACAAACCTGCATCCATTAACTTGATCTCACGTTTCATAACTTCTTCGTCTAAACTAGGATTAGTAAATATGGATGCAGGTTTGTC